ATTTAACCCGTTCTTTTCGAAATTTTGATGACATATTGACGATGTTTTTGAACCTGTCGTAGTGCAAATATCATTGCAAAAATTTATCCCAAAAATACCGATATATAAATGTCTAAACTTAATTGGCAGAATCATTTAATTAATGAAAGTACTCTAATTACAGCTTTAGTAGACAGAGCTTTTAAACTCTACAGTAATGCATGTTTTAATAAAACATATTAAGGCAGCCTCATGATGTACGATGATCACTACAATGGAGATGTGGCCCAAGCATTGATACTACCAAGAAAGAAAAGAAGAGGAAGACCGAAGAAAGGTGGTGCGATGTCGTCAACAGCGATATGAAACTGCTAGGAGACCCTGTAGATCTAACGAATGACAGAACATTGTCGAAGTGGTTGACTAGATTATCGGATATCTCTTAAAGGGAACATGCTAGGATAAAGTAGTAGATTAAGGAAACCACATGTAATAAAAATAATTATCTACCCTGCTAAGTTCGGTAGTAATGCCATAAGCAGTAGAATAAGTCACTTTAAATTTAACTGTAGCATCAATAATGTCAAAAAAGAAAAATCTTAAATCATAAACCCAACCTAATTCTACCTTATCGTGAAACTTAAATTAAACGTTACTACTTAGCATTAAAAATAGCATTAAGACTATGTGTATAATCTTTAATAAACTGAATCCGTCATTATCCAATTTTGAGACAAGCAACTCCATAAGCCGAATGCACAATTTAGCGAGCGGCTGAAGGAAATATTGCATAGGAAAAATAGGGAGCACTGTTATTGAAAAAACAAATTTACCTCTCACGAAGAAGATGGATTATCGCAGAAGAATGCGACATGCAGTAAAAAAAACCTCCTCCAACCGGGTCAAAGAATAATGCGAAAGGACCTCTGGAATTGTGCAACACGTAGCAGAGAAAGCCTCGCTTCCCCATGGTCAGATTACACTAACGTAACCAAAGTAGGAAATTGTCTAACGAGACGCATCAAAGAGGTATTAATTATCCAGTCTCGCGACAATGTCAACCAGGACAAAGGCCTCGAACCTCGCACGGATTGAATAAGCCTTTTTGTGTCTGTTGTCAAAAATCTGCTCAACCAACAGGACGCACCAAAAGCTCATATTTTTTGGCTCCAAAGTTACAGCAGCTACGGACCACAGAACGAACTTAACAAGCAACTTTGTTTACCTCGAAGGAGGCCCGACAGTCACGACCTAACTGACTAAATTGTTTGCACTGTGCATAGATAAACCGTGTTTATATGCACTTTCCAGTATGATCACCAATGCACGAACAAAGTACCCTATCTTCGAATAAATTGTAATAATGTATTATTAGTTTTGGATAAGCAACCTTAACCTTGGTGTTGTTCAAACGAGTCAGTCAGATTTTCGTAACAACTGATCTACGTGACGTATATTTTCGAGCTGCTTTTGTCCTGTTTCTCTGTTCTTGACGATGCAAGTGCTGCGATACAGAGTTTGGGATATATATTTTGTTCTTTTCATTCTTTTCATCATTTCAACAAGTCATCGAGCTCATCTTTCTAGGTTTTTGTTTGCTCAGTCCTCAGTCATAATTATTTATTAATGAAAGGAATCCATTAAGGTTTTATGTGTATCGTATGGAATATTACGCTTGAACATCATGCTCTTCTTCAGTCTGGGTTTATAGTCTGAGCATGCATCTACTTCTTCAAAAAAATGAATTAGCCTTAAGGAAGAAAAGGTCTGTCTGCCCATCATTAACACTGCTATATTTGTTTCACAGGTTATGAACAAGTCTTCAAGTTAGAAACTGTTCAACAGTAATTTGCCCTGAATGCCATTCCTCAGGTTATCTACAATTCGTGTTTTGCAACGTGGACGTAAACTTCGGACTTGCTAAACGCGCGAACAAACTTCACAGTATCATTTTGAACGAACAGTTCCAGTCATTTGACAGTTGTTTCTTACCGATTCCGGTTTTTAACATACCGTTTTTATTTTACGGCAAGTAATATCCTACATAGGATGTTTCATTCAGTGTTTTATTCTTGCTTATGTAGTGAATAATGGCTGAATTTGCATAGATTTCAAGCAGTCATATAGTTAGATATGCTCAAGCCATTTTCTGATTGTTTTCTGTTTACTTTCACCTCTTCCATAATTTGTTTACAATGAAAACGTGGATGTTAAGTATTCCTGCAATTGTGATTTTGCTGGAAGGCAAAATCTGCGGTAAAAGCATTCTACAATTATGCAGCTAATAGCGGAGTAATTAATTAACGTCACCTAATTATAATCAAGCGCCATTTTTACTACTGTACAACAAAAATTTTTTTGGCTCAATCTTAATTGGGAACTATTCATGACCTGCAGTGTTGGATAAATGGATTACTTCGGTATTAATTTTGTATCGCCCTTGTTTCCTTATTCAGATCGTTTCATAGACCACAGCAAGACACTCGCAATTATCTTAGCGACAAAGCAGAATAACTCATACCGTATTTCGCTAGGCCATACGATCTTTAGTTTTGAACAATGGCCAGTCTCTTTATTAGAAACAGCCGCTAGCTCTAAAAGAGGATATTGAGACTGAATGGCACTAAAGATTAATTTTTGCATTTATGATATAGGGAGAAAACAGTGAAACAAATTTTCTCCCTTTTCTTGTCTCTCATACTTTGCAGATATGTGGAGCTGATGTCAAATGTTACCCACTTCTCACTATCCTTCGGTTATCAGCCGTTTCTAAGTGCAGTTGCCATAGTTAAGTTTTTTTCAGCAGTGATTGGGAGTATTGCGTTGGTTCACAAACAATAGCTCATCACTATATTCAGAAATCTCCGTTAATCTACTTAATTATGGCATAAACCCAAACCTGATACGTATGACGATAGAATTAAGCACCTCTCACATTCTCAGACGCTCTTATCTTTTGTTGGAAAACTCGTTCCAATGCAGACCAGCTATAACGCTAAGAAGAGTACATTTTACCGTATGCTTTTCAGTCGTGTGAACCAACTTTTAAATCGATGTTTGCTTCCAAAACTCGCTAGACTTCAAAATTTATAGGCTACTGCCATGGTTGTGAAAATTTGATGGCGTTACTTCGGTAAACCGTCGACGGTACCGTTGCTGCTACTTCTTTCAAACAACCCTTTCAGATGTATTGCATGTCAGATTGTGCAAATGCTTTTACTGAGTTGTTATTACCTGTCAACTTTCGCACTTTGATATTTAGAGTTATATGCTGCATTGACAAGGGAAAGATTCTTCACTGACAACAGTTCTTCGTGTAGTTTTCTTTGCCTTATGATGAGCTGTTCACCTGTTCTGATCATTTTTCGACTGCCACTTCAGCAGACAGTGAGCCCGAAAAGTTTTGGTCTCTACCTTATATGATCAAACCATGTCAGTCTTCCTTTTCAGAGAGCCTGTGACATTTCTATAATATCAGCTAAGACAGCAACGTGTCGTTCCTCAAAATGTCGTACAGTTGTATCCTCAGAAATTTACAGTAACCAGCAGTGTTGATGGATATTCAATCGACATTCACGTGCTACCGTGAGGGTTACCGTTTCCGGTCCGAGCAGCAACATTGGCCTGACAATAGCGCGATAAAGTTGGATCGTGTTGGAAAGTGTCATTCCTTTGGTAGCACAAATTTTCGAGAAAATTTTCTTCAAAATTAGTTCTTCAATTACCAGCATAGTCCTCCTGTTTAGATTTGATTACCGTTACCATGGCTGGGGATGTCGGTTTTAGGTATTGAAATTGCTAGACTTCTTCGAGAACGCTGATTCATGGTATGACGTCCCGTTCCACTGCATCACCTGAAATCTTGTCACTTTGATCTTCGTAAGGTTCAGAAGAGTCGCCTACTTTCGCTGCCGTCGCATATAGCCACTTCAGCTGAAGAGAGGGTCCTCGTCATTTCGTCCAGTAAGACGGTGTCATTGGCATAATTCACGTCGTGAGTCACCTCCAACGTTGCCTTTGCTCCAGCAGGAGACCTGCTTCGCAGAGCCGCTTTATGTTACATGGAATATGATCCACTACTACAATGAAGTGTCCGTGTCGTCGTGTGTTCAAGCCGACAGAAACCAATTTGAAATCCGCCCTTTGACTTCTGCGGCGCTAGTCGTTCAGATCGAATGACCGCATTTCAATCATTCACGGTAATTAAAAACTGTCCGTTTGTGCAAATCGTTTTGCTCTCATTTGCTATCGCGATTTATTGGACCAGGATTTTCAATCAGGATGCCAAAAGATAAACTCTTAATGCAGATAGTTTTCGCACAAGTCACAGAGCATACGTCAAAGTAGATGACGAGAGATCAGGTATTTCAATTATATGCAGGATGTATGATTGTCGCGTAGTAGAATCAATTATGCGAAGCTTGTGGAGGACCGAGACCAGTAGGAAACCTCCTGAAGTGGCTGTCCCTGACAGAAAACAAAGAGATTAAAATCCGACAAGCAGTTTATTCTGAGGAAGAAGCTCACAGCTCGTACAGGAAATCTTGTAGCATCGTAGCTATCTTTTATCTTGGTTCAAAACTTCCAAAAAGCATGAAGACTCTAGGTATCTACCACCTGATTTAAAAATACATGTTTTCTATGTTTAATAAGTTCAGTAATAGTTGAATGTTTTGTTCAGTAATACTATAATTCAAAACTATGCAGATAATAACTATCATCCCTGTTCCTTTTCCCCTTTCCTACGTTTTTCAAGCCATTGAATCTGGTTGCTCAAGCACTGCGTTGTTCTGTTGATTACGCGCATGCGATATATATTTATGTGTCGCGCATAAACAAATTGTCTTGTGTACTAACATCGACAACCATTGGTGACCTTCAAAGACGAGATTTACTACCTGTTGAACTTCGACACCTTTTTTAAGCGCAATTGCTTGCTGAACGACCAGTAAATTACAGTGTAAAATTTATTATTTCCAGAATAAGGAGCAAAACGGAGAAATTTAACGAACGAATGGCAGAAGTAGAAGTCATAGGGTTATGAAGAATGACAATTGTTAGTTTCCATTCATCTGGTAGAAAATCGTCATGCATATGAATCGATGTAGTGCTTGATTATTA